GACCCTTTTTTTAAAACACACCGGCCTGGCAGCCACACCGGACTGCAGTTCCCGACCATGCAGTTTCAAACACCCCAAATCGCACTTCATTTCCAGATGCGTGGCAGTGCCATTAGGAATCAATTGCACCCCTGCACGTGTGCTGAAAAGCAGCACGTTTTGGTTGTGGATGCAGGAACGTGTGTGATTTACACACATTTCCAGACCCACATATACACTGCTCAAAAAAATTAAAGGAACACTTTGAAAACACATCAGATCTCAATGGGGAAAAATATCTCGCTGGATATTAGTGGTGCACTGAAATTCTGGTGCTGAGAATGAAAATTCAAAATGCACTTGGCCGAAAACCGAAATGCACAGTTTTTAAAAATTATTATATATTTTTTTGGAAAAAAACACTGATTCAAAAAAACAATATATACCCCAATATGTTTGTAAAATATGAAATAGGCTGTTATGGGGAGTAAATAGATACCCAACATGTCACGCTTTAAAATTGCGCATGCTTGTAGAATGACATTAAACTGCGGTACTTAAAAATCTCCATGGGTGATGCTTTAAAAGTTTCTACAGGATAGCAGTGTAAAGTTACAGAGTAGGTCTAGTGCGAGCATTATTGCTCTTGCTCTGATGTTCATGGCAATACCTCGTGTGGTGCAATTGCCATTTACGTATGCATGCGGGACCAACACTTGCGTTCGCCTTTGGGAACGGGGCGCTTTAAAAAAATGTTTTTGTTTAAACTGTTTCTTTGATTTTTTTTTATCACTTTATTTTGCTGTCATAGTAAATGTAAACATTGCTTGTGATAGCAATAGTCAGTGACAGGTACTCTTTACAGAGAGATCTGTGGTCTATTAGACTTCAAATGTCCTCTGCACTAAGATCGGTGTAATCAGATGCTTTACCAATTTAAAAAATAGTGCTGTTTACATCCAGGAAACTGGAAGTGATGAAAATGCTCATTGCTCTAGTTTCTTATACCATAGAGATCATCAGGGACCTTTCAGTCCTCCGCAATCTGTGTAGTAAGCCGGTGGTCATTCAGTGCTCCCTCCCGCCACCTGTAAAAGCTATCCAGCAGCTAATTTGCCACTAGAATGGCTTCTATATAAAAACAAGCTTAACCACTTCCCGGCCGGCCGTTGTATATAAACGGCCAGACTGTGGCAGTACAGGGTCAGGTGGCCGTTTATAAACTGCCTCCCCACGCCCTGCTTGTGCGCGCTCCCCGGGAGCACGCAGCACTACTCTCCAGTGCCCTCTGTGTCCTCCGGACACAGTGAAACACCGATCGTCGGACGGGACCTCTGTACGAGGTCCGATCATGTGATCACTGATTGGCCAATCAGTGATCACATGCAAAGTAGTAAGCAAGATGTCACTTGTGACATCATTGCTTACTACATGTGAAATCTGTGAATGATCACAGAGGTCAAATGGTACAAGGCTATTCACAGCAGCCTTGTACCATGTGACAAGCTGTGACCAATCACAGCTCACTCAGTAGTTCTCAATGGCTGCAAGAATGCAGACAGAGAGAAAAAGAAATGATTGCTTTTACATCCTATATGGGTGTAAAAGCAATCGGTGTAAAAAAAAAAAAAAATCTTCATCACCCCCCAAAAGTAGTACAGTGTCTCCATGGTGACACTGTACTGCTAGGGTGACGGTGTGTAAAAAAAAAAAAAAAATAAATTAAATAAAAATATAAATAATATAAAAAAAAAAAATGTAAAAAAAAAAAAGTTTAAAAATTATAATATCTGGTTATAAACTAATTTGGCTTATTTATTTTTTTTACTAAAAAGATAACAGAATACATTTTGGCCAAGATTTATGATGAAATTTTATTTATTTGCAACATTTTATAAGAAAAACACTTTTTTTCCAAATTTTTGGACATTTTCATATACATAGCAAAAAAAATAAAAATCCCAGCGGTGAATAAATACCACCAAAATAAAGTTTTATCTGTCTCAAAAAAATGGTAAAAAATTCATATGGGTACAGTGTTATATGACGCGCAATTGTCATTCAAAGTGTGATAGCGCTGAAAGCTGAAAATTGCCCTGGTCAGGAAGGGGGTAAAAGTGTCCAGATTGGAAGTGGTTAAAAAACAATGTGGGATGATGTCTGGAGTGAAGGCACCATCCTGGTATAACCACTTAAAGCCAAATGACATACATGTATGTGATTTGGTGTTAAGTAGATAAAGTTCACAACAAGGGTGCAGAAATCTTAGATCTTTTCCTTTTAAAGTGTAACTAAAGTCAGAACTTTTTTTTTTTTTTTAGTTTTGGAAAGTGGAGAGGGATTAGAACACCTGACAGATCTTATTGTTGTCTGTGCCACCTGTTAGGGAGATTCACCTTCTATTTGTCCTTTTCACCATTGTCATCAAAAGTGAGTGTAAAAGAAATTCAGAACAGGAATCAAGAGGAAATCACCATTAGTTCTGGTGATTGTGGCGACACCCTGAGATTCTCTCACTTTGGATGGATTTTCTCTCACTTGTTCAGTCTATGGGAGAAGAAGTGAAGGGAAATCTTGCCTATGGGACAGAAATGGCAAAAAAGAAACCCAACGATGGTTATAACCCTATCCAAGATGCAAAAAAAATTGCCTTTAGCTACGCTTTACATTAGAAGGCTTGCAAGATTCTGCAAAACAGAAATGTAAAAACATACAGCAGGTGTTTAGAAACTGTTGGAAACCTACTGAAAACAATATTTTAAAGTCTTTTGAGGTTGAATTACTAATGCATAGCTAGAGAGGTCGGCTTGATTTAAAACTTTTACTGTATATTAAGGATATGTAAATAATCTGATATCCATAATTTAGACACAGGAGCTTTTAAAAAATGTCACTCTGCAAATTACTGGTCTTGTAAGTAACATCTTTGATATCCTGTATATCAGGGGTCCGCAACCATTTCCGCACTGTGTCAATTTAGAAGCATTAGACAATTGGTATGTCAGTACACCATAGCTATATAGTTCATTTTCAATTTTTGCTCTCTTAAGATGGCCATAAATTTTTAAATTTTCTTACTCAATTTTATTTAGATTTACCTTCAATTGTATAGTGCAAGGACCTGCCTGATTGCATACAAGTTGAAAGTGTTTAGGTTTTGACGTAGATGGCTTTGGGAAATATAAAGACAAATTGTGCAAGAAAATTGTATAATATATGAGCAGCCATAGATGTACTACTCTTGCCGGGTTAACCACTCGCTGTCTGCACTATAGCCAAATGATGGCTACAGTGCTGTTGTCGAGTTCTAGGAGGGTGTCATATGACAACCAGCGCTCTCTGTGATTTCTGTGTCATTTGGACACAGGTTTTTCACATGACACAGTAAAGGGCCAATCACCATGTGATCAGCTGTGTCCAATCACAGCTCATCACCATGTAAACACACTTGCCAGTTATCGGTAGTACTTTCCTCACACTGTCACAACGTACTGCTGATAACCGGCAAGCCTGAAAGGAGACATTTACACTGATAATCAGGGCTCCTATCTGTGCCCATCAGTGCTGCCAGTCAATGCCCATCAGTGCAGCCCCATCGGTGCCTCCTCATAGAAACTATTCATACAAATTTCAGTTGTATGAAAATTGAAAAAAAAAATCTCATATGGGTACAGTGTTGCATGACCGCGCAATTGTCATTCAAAGTTCGACAGCACTGAAAGCTACAGCTGGAAAAAAATCCAGTCAAGCTGAGTGCTGCTCAGCCATTCACAGGAAGACTTGTATTTTATCAATTAATACAAGGCTTCCCCTGAATGACCAAGGTGAAGATAGTGACACATCCACTTTCCTCTTGATTCCAGCCAATCCATGGAAGCCTTGTATTCACTGATAAAAATACAAGGTTTCCTGTGAATGGCTGGCACTCAGCCCAACTCGATTTTGTTCTAGCAGTGCCCCATACCGCTGCTGGAATGCAGTGCTGCATACTTGATGTAGTTGATGCTACAGTTACACACAGTTTAGACTGCACTGACAGCGGCTGCAACAATTACTAAAGGAAATAGTTTTTACTGGCCCAAACAAACTATCTAAAGTGAAACAAAAGATGGGCTTTAATTTCAGCTGTACACGTGCTTCTGAATGATCTGTTGTAAGTCAACTTCAAGATGGACTTAACACTGTCTTTAGGTGTGAAAAAAAATCTGTTTGCACACATATGAGGATCCAAAGGCAGAGAATATTACAAAGCTCACTTATTTCAACAATAATTTGACACTACACTACAGACTAGATAATTAATAAACTACCCTACAGTTATGTTTAAATGAGAAATTGAAAATATTTTTGTAGACATTTGACTATCGATCTGCCAGATGTCAGTGAAAATAACTTTGCTTGCCCTCCATTGCTGACCCTTCTGTATGCTGTAATGATGTAAAGGTCAGTAGGAGAAAACAGTGAGCACTGCGAGGTCCAAGAAGGTCTACATGTTTGGAAGTGTTGGTTTCCTCAGTAGACAATTTCTCAGGAACTGTGGTGTTCGGCAGTGCAGATGGCAGGAGAGAGGAGTATTTATACTCTTTTACAGGGAAAGCTTAGCTGGAAAAGTTTTGTATAGTTATGACATGGGGTGATTAAGTGTTAAATTAACAGATATGTGGTTTAATTTAACATTTAGTAAATGTCAAACAGGTTAAACTACTTGCATGGAAGTGAACCATTGGCCCAGGCCTACTATACAGCATGTTACAAACCTGTAACCCAGTGCAGTCAGTTGCCATTTAGATGGTTACAGTGTGCTGTCTAATGAAAGATGTTTGTTTCTGTGTGTCATGATGTTAAGCAACATTTTTGTGTTTTGTACATCAACTCCACTAACACTTATCTGATCAACACAGGCCATCATCGTGATGTTTTTGAATAAAAATGTAATCCTGTTATGGTAAAGCTCTGTTGTAAATAAGAGATTTTTCTTTTCAGATGTCATATATTTCTTCCGTTGGGTATATTAGTCCGATATGTCATCTTGTGAAAGTGAAAACCAAACAACCAATTTGTGTAACGGTGATCCAGAGAGATTAAGTAGCGGTAACAAATCTGATCCATACACTTGTGATCTTCCATTTTATGTCTGTGAGTTTGTGGACAAAGAGGTTGGAAATGATTTCAAGTCTCTACGAAAAGTAGCCGCTCTTTTAGAAACTATATCAGGAGAGACCAAACACCTAGAAGAGCAGGTATACTGGGGTTTCCTTTGCTTTAAAATTTGTGTTGTTCCATTTTTTCAAATGTGCAACTAGTGTGGGAATGTTTTTCTCTTTTTAATGCAATAAGAATTGAGAATACAACAGAATATATGCATGAAAGAATGGGGCAATAAACCAGTATATTTGGATTGTGAATGCAAATTATTTTTAATAATTGCCACGCCAAAATTATATTTTTTTTTTAGCAAAAAAGGATTAAAAATGTGTGTTTTTTTGTTTTTTTTTGTTTTTTTTTTATGGAAGTTGAATATGTTCCCTCGAAAATGTTGGATATGTATTAAAGAGGTAAGGATAGGTCATCTGTAAAACATTTAGCTGTAATAAGCATGGTGACACTTTACACTTTACTCTAGGTTCTTACTGTCTCTACTGAGGCTCCAAAGCGAATTCAGGCTGCTTTAAACAATGCAGAAGACACCAAATCCTTTGTTGCTGCTCTTCTGGAAAGAGAGACGACTGTGTCTCAATCCATCAATGAACACCTAATGGAGGCTGCACCATGGATGGAAGACTTAGGAGCCTTAATTCAACAGATCAGTGAAGTGGAATGTCATCTAGCTTACCTGAAATGGATCTCACAAATTGAGGAGCTAAGGTGAGCAGACAATAGCTAGCGCTAGCTAAAGTGGCACTGTTCACAGATTTTGGTGGACATGGCAGCTACCAGCTTGAATTTTTTTTTTTTTTAACTTGTGGAGGTGTATTGTGAGCACCGTCATAGAGCTCTGTTTTCTTTCACCTCTCCAGTGATAACATTCAGCAACATCTGATGACCAACAATGTTTCTGAAGCTACAAATACAATGGTATCAATGGCTGAGCTAGCTATTAAGCTCCAGGATTCATCTTGTACTCATCTACTAAAATTCATCTGTTCCACTGTTCAGTTCTGGCACAAAATTCTTAAGGACAAGTTAACAAGGTTATTATGGCATCATTTTTAGGGTGTAATATCATGTAATAGTGACATATTCGAGGTCTATGTATTTGCTAATTGTATTTTGTTTTTATCTGTAGTGATTTTGAAGAAGTGTTAAATCAGTTACATTGGCCTTTTGTGAGTCCACATCAGCCACCAACACCAGTTTCCTCAACATCTTCCTCAGTTGGAGCTAATGAAGTTTACACTAACCTGCAAACACTCTTCACTCAACTTCTTAAGCTTCAAGTTTCGTATCCTTTAGAAGTCAGACCAATGAAAACTGTCACTGGAAGCAAAGTAACAAAGGAGATCAGCATTTAAAACATTTTATTAGTTGTAGGTATACATAGTATTAGAGCACAGGACCTTCTTAATGAAAGTGAATGAAAAAAAAAAATCTAGAATAACTGTAATGAAAGATGTTTTGGCATACATTGTCTTATACAGATATTTCTCTAGAGAATGATAATAAGGCTTTATATTTTAAATAAAAACCTTTATCTATAACAGGGATCCCCAAACTTTCCAAACGAAGGACCAGTTTACAGTTATTTACACTTTGAGGGGACGGGATTAGACCTGTAGTCAGTAGGAGGAGGAGTGCCCCATCATTGGTATTAATGAGAGGAATAGTGCCTCATCATTGGTGTTCGTGGAAAGAATGGTCCCTTATCATTGATGTCAGTGGGAGGAAAAGTACCCCATAGTTGGTGTCCGTGAAATGAATGGCACCTCATTGTTGGTGTCAGTGGGAGGAATAGTGCCTCGTTGTTCTTAGTGGGAGGAATAGTGCCACATATCAGGGTGAAGAATAGTCCTCCATGTACCAGGTTAAAGCCAGCATAGGGCTGCATTCGGACCAAAGGCCACAGTTTGGAGACCACAGATCTATAACGATCCCTATACACTGTTGCATTTTAAAGCACACACTGCAATGCGCAAAAAATATGTGTCCAACTTCCCCATAGTGAGGGAAATTTATCAAAACTAGGACAGAATCTGGAGCAGCTGTGCATGGCAGCCAATCTGCTTCTATCTTCAGCTTGTTCACTTAGGCTTTAAAAATGAAAGATCAACACAGACTGGTTGCCATGCACAGTTGCTCCAGTTTCGATAAATTCTACTCAATAAAAATAGTGGTGCTGATTTACTAAAGGCAAATATACTGTACACTGCAAGTGCCCCTGCTCTAGATCTGAGAGGAAGCTCTGCTGATTTCTATCATCCAATCACATGCAAGCACAAATGGTCTTTTTTTTTTTTTTTTTTACTTTTCCTTGCATGTGATTGGCTATTCTTTGTAAAGTGAAGCTTTACCTCATTTACTAAGCTCTGGAGCAACTGCACTTGTAGTGCACAGTGTATTTGCCTTTAGTAAATCAACCCCAGTGTCTGTTCCCATGCAGTGTGTTTTAAAAAATATGACTTGTCCTTTTTTCTGTGTTTTAGTGCATTGGAAAGCCTATTGAAGTCAATAGCGGCACATCAAAATGCATATAACATGATAAGCATTAATAACATTTATTAACCCTATCCACTTCAAATTTTAAATTTAAAAACATGCGTCAAAGCCCATGACAACACACCTGTTTAATGCTATAGAAGAGCATCCCCACTCCCATGCAAATATCTAAAATGCCTTAAAGGATGAATTCTTGATTAAAAGATAAGTTCACCTTTAGAACATGTTACATGTTCCACCCCTTTTTAGGGTTTAACATGTTCTCATAGCTGCAGCCATGCCTGCCAACCCCCTCCCTCTGACAGACAGTACGAGGAGACGTTTCCCTGTACTACTTGTCAAATTTGAAGACAGCATGGCCATGCGGGGCTCTGCCCACACAGTCACATCATTTATTCACAGACTTCTGTGAATGAATGAACTGCAAGTCCCAACAGCTTTAGCGACTGTGGGCTTGTAGTTTTCAATGAATTGCCACGGCACTGTGGAGCGACGTGGTAGTTCATTGAAGCTTCCTGTCAGTATATCTGCTTGCTCATCTGTCCCTTACGGCAAGTAGATATTCTGACAGGTCTGCAGGAGACCTGCATGGCACCAGCGATCTACTGATCATTGGTGCAATGCTTTCCAGGCTCCTTTTGGACAAAAATAATAAATGCACATTTTTTTTTTTTACCTGCAAAAAATGTGTATTTATTATTTTTATCCAAAAGGTGAACTTATCCTTTAACTCAGTTATGTATTGTGCCTTTGTGTGCCAGGTTGACATTTGCAATATAGATATTCAAAGGATAAGTACACTTTTCAAACACAAGCTCTTTCATTTATCTATGCATTTAAAGCAGATTTCTTAAACCTTCTTTTCACCTTACTTTTGTATCCTTTTAAAAGTTTTCAATTAGAGCCCAGCCAATTCAGATATGCTATTGTTTTTTTAAGCTATCCTCCAAACATGACATCAGTCTTGCTTTTTTGTGTACTGTGGTATATTAAAGTAGGATAATAATTCTGAAATTTTGCTTGCAACTGGCAGGTCAAGATTACATAGGTTGGGCTCAGCTAAGGGGACTTCTGGGATGACTCTTTTCTACAACTTTTTATTTGTTAATTTTTATGTGAGCACATGCTTTCTTGCACCTCTCACTTTTCAGAAAACATGTATGTAGTTCTTGACTCTGTGGCTTCTGTCATCAAAAGCTTATAATGAGTCAGCCATGGGAAAAAAATATTACATTTAATTTTTCATTTTATCAAAAAGACACATATATAATGCATGTTGGAATGCCAGTATTACTGGTCACATCTGCTGCACATATTTTTTTTTATTTTGTCAAACTTTTCTTAACATGTAACCTTAGAGATGAACTAATAAGTAAACCTAAACAGATGCCAGAGAAATTTTCCCTTCCATCCTCTCCTCCTATCATTCTTCCTATGCAGATTATGCTAGCTCCTTTGCAGAAGAGGTTCCGCTATCATTTTACAGGCAACAGGCAAACTAACCTTTTAAACAAGGTGAGTATGCATTGGGTCTGTATAGCCACTGTTACTGCCAGAATTCTTGTATAGAGTTTAAATGATTGTCATATGAGTTATTAAATGGACAATTGCACCTTTTGTCAATATTTTAGGGTGCCTAGCACACTTATTAAATCAGTAATATAAATACTATACCTTTTCTCCAAATGAAAGATTTTGCTGTGGTCTGCCTAACTTAATTCTGTTGCTGAAAGTAAATAATGGTGTCCATGTACATTCCTGCTTAAATTCGGCTATGAACTACTAGATTTTCAAATGAAAATTCTCAGTACATTCAACGGCTTGACACATTTTATTCAAAAATAGTTTAAATCTAATTTTCTTTTAACATTCAATTTTGAAATGAATAGACTACCAAGCAAAAACCATATACACTGTTAAAAATGTTCCGTTTCTAAAAAATGAACGTCAAATTGACCACACTAATGATTTGAAAATCGATTTGAAGATCTGGCCAGTAATACACCTTCTGTATTAGAGTGGACAGCAACATTTTCAGTTTGGGGGGAGGGTAGTGTAAGATGCTGTGGTAGATTTAGATACACTAACAAATTGAAGCCAAATTTGAGCTAATATTTTATAAGCTGTTACAGCAACAGTTTTTTTTAGTTTCTTTTGGGATAAAGGTTTTACATAATTAACCATAATAAGCACCTCTGTCAGTGGTAAATGGTTTGTCTCAACCCTCTAATATCTACATCTGCAGGACAGCTTGTTTTGTTGAAAAACAGACTTACTGGTAGAATCACCAGGTGAAAATAAAGGAAAGAACCCCTTAAATGGCTAGATAATTTTTACCTGTATTAAGATAAATAATTTCCCACTGGCTGTATGGCCCCCTCACCACCCTTTATACTTACTTGGGTCCTATATCGATACAGTGATGTGCCTGTCTGAAGCGGTGCTCCTCTTCTCACAGGCTACAGTGGAAGCCATTGTGTATCCTCTATCAACTGAAATCTTTCTCCATCACTCCCCCACCACCTTATTCTTTTGGTGCAGCAGTGGTTAATAGAGCTGACGGACTCAAGAGTTCCTGATTATGCCCGTCTTTTCTATCTAGTTCCTGTATGCATAGAAGCAATTCTACAGCTTCTGTGAATGAAACGTGATCTATAAATGGAGGGCAGCAGATGACTGAAATGTCTGACCCCTCCATTCATGGATCAAATTTAATTCATAGAAGTTGTAGTATAACTTCGGTGTATGGAAGAACTGGGCACAAAGGGTGGGCATAGTTAGGTTATTTGAAGATGTAGTTGTCAACATCGCCAATATTGTAAATACGCTGCTGTAGCTACTGTGTTCTAGCCTGTAAATATCTGCTCCAAGGCATTACTGTTAACTTCTGCCTTTTACCCTCTGCAATTTGTCCACACACTGTCCACTGCCCTACTGACATTTGTTATATCTTTCTAAGTTTTCTTTACTATTTAGTTAGGCCTTGCTAGTTAATTTCTTAATGAAAAAATAAAGGCACCAAACCCTAGTGATCTTTGATCTCTTCCATGTTGTTCAGGTAGATCTCTACCTCTCAGAGGTTGCCTACCCCTGTTTTCCTGTTATAGTGGGTACCTCATGTTGGTGTATTTTTTGGCAACTGCCTGCTGATGAGTGGCAAGAGTATCTGAATGGTGCATGACTTTGTCCATTCATAAGATATACAGTATATGTTTTTGTTGTTCTCTTTAGTTGTTTGTTCCTTAGTCATGTTAAACAGGGTTTCTTTTTATGTTTCAGCCTGAGTGGTACTTAACGCAAGTCCTCATGTGGATTTCAAACCACACAAAGTTTTTGCTTGAGAAGATTCAGCCTATCCTGATTAAGGCAGGCTCCTCAGTGAATATTAAGGTTAGTATTCAAAAGGGGAAATTTATCCAGGAGGTTTTGGTTCAAGGCAATGAATTTGGCCTGATGATATTTCTGGCAGATTATGAGCAAGCAGCTTCACCACGAGCATACTCCCTGACTGTGAAGTTATAGTTTGACTGGAAACGTGGTCTATCCACTCTAATGCTGTTCATACATGAGGCAGTTTGGAGGGCAATATGGTGGCTTTCAATCAGCTTCCAATTAGAGTCAATTTCTCTATATAAATATAGAGAAATTGACTGAAACTTGTACAGTTTTTGATTAATTACTTAAAACCAGGAAACATCTGTGTTTTGATTGCAAGCTAATTGAAAGGAAAATGTCCAATATGCGCATCATACAGATACTTTATCTGTCTCATCTGACTAGGTGACAATTCCCACCACCTCAAGTGCTAGGAAATTGCCTTGGCTGCAACAATAGCAGTTCTCAGTTTATTCCTATTGTTTTCTGCCAAACACTGGATGTAAAGATGTCTTCTTGCTCTGTCCTCCTCCATAGCCATAAAAACACACTCTGGTGATCCCCACCATTATATTTATGGCATTTTGTTTTTACGAAAAATATTTCAGGAATCACCCTTATATGGCCAACTGCCCTCAATGACATACAGTGTCATAACTTCAGTAAGTGGTCATGTGCTATTTATTGTTATACATTTCTGTTGATCTTATCTCTAGATGGAGTTTACTCGTGGTCTGGTGTTGTTGGTGCTAGAGAAGTTATCTGCTGACATCCCATGTTTGTTGTATGATGATGTCCTCTACTGCCATTTGGTAGATGAGGTGCTTCTGTTTCTAAGAGAACTACACTCAGCACATGGCTACCTGAACAATATGCCAAACTGCATGCACATTCTATCTGAGGACACCTTCTTTCAGCGATGGCTAACTGTGGAAAGGAAATGTAAGTGCTGGTGTTCTGCTTAGCACCCAGTTTAATGAATAAGTAATAACTAACAATCTCTGTGGCATATTCTTAGCTACTATATTGCCATACAAATCCTAATATATCAGACTGCATTTTCCTGTTTCTGTTAATCTGTTGAAATTACTTTTGTGCACTTAAAATGCTTCCAGTCACTGTCACCTGGGTTATATTTTTTTTTTTTTCCAAAATCATGGATGATGCTCTTGTTTTATGCAGATTAAATGTTCTGGCTTCACTCTGATCAACATACTGCATACATGTTTGGAGGCAGTAAATCAAAAAGTATTGAGAAGGCCAGGCAACTAGTATTTTCAAGAGCAGATCAGCAATAACAACTTCATTATTTCTGTCAGTACAGATTTCCTTTAAGGCCCGTTATAAGTGTATTGTGTGTTTAAGAAGTACATAGTTTTCAACTGATCACTCTTATTTGTATTGTCAGTGGCTCTAGAGAAGATGGATTCCATGTTATCTTCAGAGGCTGCCTGGGCTTCTCAGTACAAGGATATTAGTGATGTGGATGAAATGAAGTTTCCAGATTGTGCAGAGACATTTATGACTCTACTTCTTGTTATTACAGGTAAATTGCCATTTGCAATTTATTTAGATACAAAACGGCTACTAATGTTCTAAACTTGATGAGAAGTGAGGTATTATCACAGAAAGGCACTACACAGGAGGAGAGGTTTACATCTTAGCTGGTGAAATATGGGTTCAGAAGGCTTCTGTGCTGGTAAAATAAGGGATTGACATCAGCTGCTGGATTTATGTTTAAATCGAAGAACAAATATATTAATACAAAGCAGTTTATAAGGGTGGTTAGCATATTTATTGTTTAAATGTTTTACTAACAAACCCTTGTAGAAACATCATTCCCTTTGCAGTATTTGCACAGATTACAAGCAGTTTTCCCAAAACAATCTTTCCAAAGTGTCTCAGTTCTGATACGTTTTCTTTGATAGAGGTGATTATTCGATAGATTGCTCATTTCCTGAGCTTCTAGCTGCACTTTATGCAAGAATCCTATAGGATGGTGGTTGCAAAGACAAGCAGGGCTAGCCTTTAAAATGGTGGCTGCACCAATCATATTTCATGGCCTAAGCTCCTTTTCCTGTTGCATTAAAAGTGGACACCCAGACCTGCTCCATGGCTTCTGGATCAAACTATTTTGGATTGCAGTGGTACTTTATGCTACTAAATAGCTAGTAAACTACTTGCCCCTGACTCCAGAATGAGCTGTTTTCGGTCCAATTGACATTCCCGAAATCAAAATATTGAAAGGTTGCAAAAAACTGTTTGTCATTAAATCCCTCATAGCAAAGATAGCCATTTTGTGTAAATGGATTTACCTTGATCTCTCATCTCTTTGTAGGCAAGCCGTCTTATGTTTTCCATTTGGAATGTGTGGAAGCCTACCTACAAAAGGAAATACAGGTCCATACATTTTTTGATGTCTGGGAGTCTTGCATCCAAACCTTACCTGCTTACACCCAAGTCAATAGTACAATGTTTTCAGTACACTCAAAGGTATCAGATCAGACTATTAATGACCCTCCAACTAATATCTTACAAATTAATAGCTGAGGTCTTCCCCCTTCCTCCAATTGTAAGATCAAAAACCGAGCGCCATCCATCTAATGTGCATCGTTTACTGTTGACCACTGTACCATCAGTGTAATCTTAAACTTAGTCAAAAAGGCCCTTTTTTCTCATTTTGTATCACTCTATAGGCCAAATGTTGTGGCCACCATTGCTGCTAATTGCATTCTTATACTTAAATAAAAATATGAACTATATACTATATTACAAACTCATTATACCCGCTTTTAGATTTTAAAAGTGGGTAGAAGACCCTCTTTGTGGTAAATGTCATAGAGATCATAATGACATCCATATGCTTGGTGCTGTCCTAAGCTTCATACAGTCAGGTCCATAAATATTGTGACATCGACACAATTCTAACATTTTTGGCTCTATACACCACCACAATGGATTTGAAATGAAACGAACAAGATGTGCTATAACTGCAGACTGTCAGCTTTAATTTGAGGGTATTTACATCCAAATCAGGTGAACGGTGTAGGAATTACAACAGTTTGCGTATGTGCCTCCCACTTGTTAAGGGACCAAAAGTAATGGGACAGAATAATAATCATAAATCAAACTTTCACTTTTTAATACTTGGTTGCAAATCCTTTGCAGTCAATTACAGCCTGAAGTCTGGAACGCATAGACATCACCAGACGCTGGGTTTCATCCCTGGTGATGCTCTGCCAGGCCTCTACTGCAACTGTCTTCAGTTCCTGCTTGTTCTTGGGGCATTTTCCCTTCAGTTTTGTCTTCAGCAAGTGAAATGCATGCTCAATCGGATTCTGGTCAGGTGACTGACTTGGCCATTGCATAACATTCCACTTCTTTCCTTTAAAAAACTCTTTGGTTGCTTTTGCAGTATGCTTTGGGTCATTGTCCATCTGCACTGTGAAGCGTCCAATGAGTTGTGAAGCATTTGGCTGAATATGAGCAGATAATATTGCCCGAAACACTTCAGAATTCATCCTGCTGCTTTTGTCAGCAGTCACATCATCAATAAATACAAGAGAAGCAGTTCCATTGGCAGCCATACATGCCCACGCCATGACACTACCACCACCATGCTTCACTGATGAGGTGGTATGCTTAGGATCATGAGCAGTTCCTTTCCTTCTCCATACTCTTCTCTTCCATCACTCTGGTACAAGTTGATCTTGGTCTCATCTGTCCATAGGATGTTGTTCCAGAACTGTGAAGGCTTTTTTTAGATGTCGTTTGGCAAACTCTAATCTGGCCTTCCTGTTTTTGAGGCTCACCAATGGTTTCCATCTTGTGGTGAACCCTCTGTATTCACTCTGGTGAAGTCTTCTCTTGATTGTTGACTTTGACACACATACACCTACCTCCTGGAGAGTGTTCTTGATCTGGCCAACTGTAGTGAAGGGTGTTTTTCTTCCCCAGGGAAAGAATTCTTCGGTCATCCACCACAGTTGTTTTCCGTGGTCTTCCGGGTCTTTTGGTATTGCTGAGCTCACCGGTGCGTTCCTTCTTTTTAAGAATGTTCCAAACAGTTGTTTTGGCCACGCCTAATGTTTTTGCTATCTCTCTGATGGGTTTGTTTTGTTTTTTCAGCCTAATGATGGCTTGCTTCACTGATAGTGACAGCTCTTTGGATCTCATCTTGAGAGTTGACAGCAACAGATTCCAAATGCAAATAGCACACTTGAAATGAACTCTGAACCTTTTATCTGCTCATTGTAATTGGGATAATGAGGGAATAACACACACCTGGCCATGGAACAGCTGAGAAGCCAATTGTCCCATTACTTTTGGTCCCTTAACAAGTGAGAGGCACATATGCAAACTGTTGTAATTCGTACACCGTTCACCTGATTTGGATGTAAATACTCTCAAATTAAAGCTGACAGTCTGCAGTTAAAGCACATCTAGTTAGTTTCATTTCAAATCCATTGTGGTGGTGTATAGAGCCAAAAATGTTAGAATTGTGTTGATGTCCCAATATTTATGGACCTGACTGTAGGTATTGGGATGCAAATATTGGTATAAATTTAGTGTTTCAAACTGATATTACACTGGACCCAAAGCAATGCTTACTGGGATTATTAGATGAGCTAGTGGTACGAGAATGCACTAAAGCAGTGATTTCTAGATCTTTAATTCAAGTCCATAAGATTATTCTACAATACTGGAAGTCTGAGAGTCCCCCAGGTCATCAGGAATGGATCTACCACATGGGTACCTTTTTTATGCTTTTAGCGTCTAATTTACTAATATAGGCTACCCTGGTAAAATGTGAGAAATTATGGAATAGCTGACTGGCTACACCTGGCTTGTCACTTATTGACTTTGTACTAAATAGAATCTTGTGATGCACTTTACTTATTCTTTGTATTTTAAAACTGTAACCTGCTATTTGTTTATGCTAGGAACATAATACCATATTCAGTTTTATCTAGTGATCTTTTACTGTCCTTATTTTGGGCTGTTTTGTGAACCTGATGTATACTGTAACAAACTTGTTTCCTCTAATTATTGTATGACTACTCTGAAAAGCTTTAATAAAGCTTTCTATGATTAAAAACAAAAACGAAAGGGAAAAAAAAATAAGATGGCAGTTACACTTTTGCAACTACATTGGGATAATACCTGCTTTATATTTGCCACATGTTCCCATTCACATAGCAGAAGTTAAAAAAAAAATAAATAAAAATGCTGCTTACCTTTTAGCATCCCTAAAAATCATACCTAGCTTTCCCCTTGTATGAAATGTTAAGTCCCCTTAACTGTGAATTTACGTTTACCATAATTAACCCTGTCTGGTTTGTGCTGGCAGATCTTCATTATCAGTTGTAAATTAGATTTGATCACTGTTTGCCCTAACAAAGGATTACAGATCTCAACGCGTGGGTTGTGCAACTAGAATGGTTAAGAAATATTTAAAAATATATATTTTTAGGTATGCTGAATGGGAACATACTGTATAACAAACATATAATAGAGTTTTGACTGCAAAAGTGTTGGTTGCACAGGCAGGTGGGGAAAGCCTTATTGTACTGTGGTTGCAGGGACAGCCTTTGAAGTTGGTGGTTGCACAGACACAGAGACCTCCTTTTTAAACTGGTGGTTTCACTAGCAGGTGTTAACAGCCTGTAGGGTGGTACTTGGGCAGTGTAGTTGGACACTAAAATGGATTTGCAAAAGACCTGGTTCAGTATATACCCTTCACATGTGTTAGGCTAAATCTGTTAGTGCTTAAACAATCTGTATGTATGCCATTTATTCCACTAGGTAGCGTATGTCAAAAAATCACTACACACAAATTACATCTTCATTTCTTTCAAAGTTCAGTGAGTCTCACCATAAACATCTTCTGTTCCTCCAGCCCCCCAAGGGAAAAAGTGCTTGTAGTATTTTGTCCTGTTTTCATTAGTGCTTAGCTTGGCCATTTATTCCACTAGGCAGTGTACCTCTAAAAGTCATTACTCCTAATATTTTCACTTCTTTCAAAGTTAAAGAAGTCTCACAATAAATATCATCTGTTCTTCCAGCACCCCCAGGAAAAAAGTTTATAAAAGTATATGTACACTTTATCCTGTTTACATCCAGTGCTTTTGGATACTGAGATACCGTGGTCAACAGCACGCCCCCACCCACCGCCACTGTTTGACCGCACTGCTCAGTAGGAGAGAAATACCTAGTTAGTTGTGAATGGCATTGCTTGTGTATGGCAGTAGGCAAACACCAAGGACCAGCATCATCACTACTAATGTAGGAGGAGGGGGCATGTATCACGAGTCACCTGTTCCCAGTGGAACACACACACAGGTTGACCCAACATGCAGTCACAGCAGAGAGGGCGATAGTAAATGAGCTCTGCTTGAGCTACACAATAGGAATGCCAGCAAATCAGACCTCATGGAGGGGTACAGCAACGAAGCAATAATAACAGATAGAGAAATCTGATTTTCTAGATAATTGGTCAACTTTTATTTTTGGAAGTAAACCTAATGATTAAAAAATAAATAAATATACCATCAGGTAAGCCTTTATGCCTTTTGAAAATTCCTTACTTTGTGTTAACAAAAAAAAAAAAAAATCAGTTTATAGAAAACTAGTTTATATTCTATGTGTCTCCAACAAGCCTTCCTATGTTATAACTATTAGACAGGTATAAGAATCTGCCCACAGCGGAAAAGAAGCTGAAGTTCCTGGAACTGCAAAAGGAGCTGGTTGATGACTTTAGGATCCGTCTAACACAAGTGATGAAGGAAGAGAGCCGAGCTTTGCTAGATCCTAAATACTGTGCGATACTCAATGCTGTCAACTACATAGCAGCTGTGCTAGCTGACTGGGCTGACAATGTTGTGAGTACATACATTTATCATTTTTCAATCAAAATTCCAAATTTTTACAAGTCATTTCTTATGCATAGATTAGGGTGGGACGGAGACACATTGGTATTTAAACTCAAAAACAAAAATGTATTAAAGTGATTAAATTATTTTTTTAAATAATAAACATGTTAAACTTACCTGCTCTGAGCAATAGTTTTGCAAAGAGCAGTCCCTAACCTCCTCTTCTGGGGTCTGCTCCTGGCGCTCCTGGCTCCTCCTCCCTTACAAGTGTCCCCATAACAAGCGTTTTGCTATGGGGGCACTTGTGCAGGCTCAATCCCTAGCCAGACTGTGTGTTTTTACTGAAGCGTACAGTGCGACTCGGCCTCACTCCCCATTGCCTCCTCGTAGGACTTGAATGAGAGCAGCAGGAGCCAGTGGCTTCTGCTGCTGCATCTGAGTCCTGTGGGGTGGGGGAGAAAGAGCAGCACTGCTGCTCTTGGAAACAACACTGGACTGAGATGTAGCTCAGGTAAGAATTTAGGGGAAGCTGGGGGCAGGGAACTTAATCACAGAAGGTTTTTTACCTTAATGTAGAGAATGCATTAAGGTAAAAACCTTGTGCCTTTACAACTACTTTACATTGTAGCTCACTGATTCTTAGATGTGGTGACTGCATTAGTTTTCTTTATTCGGCTTTTTCCTTTTTCTCCTGTTGATCCAGCCAGTATATCTGTTATTTTTCAACCTATTTTAACGGACCAAGCAGTCCAGACAAATTAGCAGTTGGAGGGTTAAGACAAACCATTTACCACTGACAAGGGTGCTTACAATGGTCAGCGTTTATTCATTTATATAAAACCTTTATCCCAAAAATAAATAAAACTGTTTGCTATAACTGCTTACAAAGTGTTAGCTGGAGTTCAGATTCAGTTTGTTAGCCAGGTCCAGCTAAATCTGCTAGTTTAACCGCCTCCCGCCCTCCATATAAGGAAATGATGGACGTGAAGTGGTTCTCTTGTTCTGGGAGGATGTCATATGACATCTTCCCACTCTAACCACACACGTGTGTCCCCGGGGGCACGCAGTGCGGCACTCGGTGGTGCGCTGTGTCCCTGGGACACAGTGGATCACCGATCAGTGGAAAGAGCTGATGACGTCAGCTCTGTCATGTAATCAGCTGTGTCCAATCACAGCTGATCACATATAAATAAGGAAATGCTGGTTATCGGCATTTCTCTCCTCGCGAGCTGTCACGCTGACAGCTCGTGAAGAGAGGAGAGCCGGTACTCTACATTACTCAGAGGGGACATGTACACTAATAATCAGGGAACTGATGATCAGTGTAGCCCCATCAGTGCCACATATCAGTGCCTACCAGTGCACATCAATGCCACATATCAGTGCCCATCTGAGCTGCCTTTCAGTGCCAGTCAGTGCTACCTATCAGTGCCATATGAGTGCTGCCTTTCAGTGACCATCAGCGATGCCTGTCAATGCCCATCTGTACCACCTACCAGTGCCCCTCCTCAGTGCCCATCACTGCAGCCTCATTATCGCACAGCAGTGAAGGCGAAAAATCACTTATTTACAAAATTTTATAACATAAACTAAGAAAGAAGGTGATTAAATACCACCAAAAGGAAGCTGTATCTGTCTCAAAAAATGCTAAAAATTTCATATGAGTACAATGTTGCATGACCGCGCAATCATCATTCAAAGTGTGAGAGCGCTGAAGCTGAAAATTGGCCTGAGCAGGAAGGGGGTAAAAGTGTCCAGTAGGCAAGTGGTTAAAACTACCATATCCCCAGACTGGCAATGCTGTTGTCTAAGGGTGTCACACTGTCTGCTTTACTACTTCCAGACACTCCAGGAAGTGTGTTTTTTTGGCTGGATCACCAGGGCAAATAAAGGGAAAAAATGAATGCAGCCACCACATCTAAGAATTGGTAAGCTGCAGTTGATTCAATTTTTGGTTTTGGGTTTAATACCACTTTAAATCAAATCCAGACCTTGTAAAGGTCATGTGTACAATGAGGCTGATTTGTGAAGAGTGGGTTAAAGAAAAAGGTCAGCAACTGAGCTGTTGTATATAGCAACCAGTCAAATTCCTAGTTTTATTTGTAAAATGAAGCCTGAATGTTTGCTGTGGACAACTGCCCAGTGTTGAGAGATTAGCCCTACTACATTAAACCATCAGTGCAGCATTGTGTGTTTTTTTTACTCATATTATAATTCTCTTACATAATATTGTTGTTTGCAGTTCTTCTTACAGCTTCAGCAGGCTGCACTGGAGGTTTGCACTGACATTCATTCTAGCAGTAAGCTTCAGCTGGGACAGCTGGCTTCTATGGAAATATCTGTCTTTGATGATATGATTAACCTACTTGAGAGACTGAAGAATGACATGCTAAGTCGTCAGGTAGAACATGTGTTCAGAGAAGTAAAAGAAGCAGCAAAGATGTACAAGAAAGAAAGGTATGTCTTTGTACAGATAGCAGCTGTGAGATTGTATAACAAAATCAGTTTTTATTACAGTGATCCTCCAACGTACTCACATTTCCACTGAAATGCAGGATGCAAGACTAATACGCACATGATGTGAAGTCAATTACTTCCAGCACCTAAAGAAAGCATAATGTAGAAAGACACTCTTCATACATCAAAATTAAGCGGTCAGTTATTTATTGCAGAACATGAAGTTTACTTGTCGCCTATGAGATCTGCACTTAAAGTGCACGCATCTCATAGTATCCATGCAACCACTGACAACTGTAGACCAGTGCACACATTTTACTCCCCCATGTGTATGTCAGCAGCCACCAGTATCCATACTATCCATGAGATCTGAACTGAAGGACATAACCCCTACTGCTCAGTATCTATGAAACTATTGAGGTTTGTGTTCCAGGGCCCACACCTCACAGTATTCATGCCACCGCTGCTGACATCTGCAGAGCAGTGCAAACACTTCAGTCCCCTCCCCAATATGCATTTCAGCATTCACCCGCATCCATGGTACTAGTGAGATCTGCAACCAAGGACATGCCCCTCAGTACCATGTATCCATGGTACTATTGAGAACTGCACTCAAGAACATACCCATCACTGCCAAGTAATCGTGCAATATTGAGATGTGCACTTCAGCACATATATTTCACTTCCCAATATCCATGCTACCAGTAAGATCTGCACCCTCACTCTCTAGTATCTTTGCACCCCAAATTTGCATATAGTGTTTGATATCTCTGTATTACACACAGTGCCTCAAAGCTCTCTATGACAGGCAGTGCTTTGATCATTTACTAAGTTGTTCAGGCAGAGTTACATATTGCCTCTGGGCACATCTCAGCACATCCCATCACAGATCGCATCATGAAATAAAACAAAAAAACATGGGTAAAATTTACTGTGACAATACACCACAATACAATCCATACAGAGGGGGGAGAGAAACATGTTCTAACCTTGTAACCTAGTCTGTAAGTTACTAGATTAAAGGATTCTACAGCCCTGATGTTGAAAAAATAAGGCAATAAAAATTACTGTTAAAGAATAAGTTCACCTCTTCCAGAAAATAACCTGTGCAGTCAAGGGGCCCCTGCAGATAATAGAAATAACTGTTGTAAAATGTTAATTAATTTTATGGTCATACCTGTAGCCCTTCCACAAGACTGGCTGAAAAACTCAGTTAACAATCCCTAAGTCCTGCCTTATTACTGGAATGTGAAGATCATTGGACGCTCACTCTCAGCATTGCAAGAGTATGAAAAAAAAACTGTTTTGCATCCTAGCAACTAGGCAGGACGTGGGAATTGCTTATTGGGAGTTTTTTGGCCAGGCTTCTTTAGAAATTTTGCAGCGTAAAGGTCTAGCTAGGAAATCTATTCAGTGTATATCCATCCAGGTAGATCAGATAAGTCATCCAACCAGGCAGATCATTGCAATTCATAGTTCTTGGTGAATCTAAAGTAGCTAGTACAATCATTGTGTGTGTGTGTGTGTGTGTGTGTGTGTGTGTGTGTGTGTGTGTCTTTAGTTTGCACACTGATCTTTGTAAATGCAGATGTGTGTAGTTCATCTTTAAATACTGCTTAGTAACCAAAAATGCTGAAAATGTTCCAGTCAATATTTCATATGGCCTTTTCCCAAATGTAATGAATTCATTGGAACTGTGAGGTACTCATCTGCTCTGTCAATTTCAGGTGGCTTTCACTGCCGTCACAATCGGAACAAGCTGTGATGTCACTATCTAGCACAGCCTGCCCTATGCTGCTAGCACTCAGAGATCGTCTCCTTCAGCTGGAGCAACAGCTTTGTCATACTTTGTTTAAAACTGTCTGGCAGATGCTTGCAGAAAAAACTGGATTTGTTCATTTATCAAGATGTAAGTAAACAAGCTTTTGGGTGCCTTTAAAACAGAACTTTACTTATAACGTAATAAAATTAATGTTCTTAAGCAAGGACCATACATTGTGGATTAATAATTATGCCAGAAAAAATAGGGTGTGCTGTAAATTGCCCCCAGTATTCCATCTGTTTCTTCTTGCTGGAGGACACCATTTTACTGGAACACAGAGCAGTCACTTTCTTATTGAGAACTTTCCCCTTTTCATAGTCTCAAAAATGATATGCCACTTTCTGCAATTCTGTGTTAATTTCCGGCCTTGACTGACTCGACAGGAGGGAGAGGTGCAGGAGCTGCAGAGTTCTCAGATTCAATGTGCTGCTGAGGGAGAACAATAAAATAAGACACTCTTTGTACGTTTAACTCTTTGCTTTTGTGTCTCCTCAGCAGCAGATCTGTCAGCTCACCTGCTTTCCTCATTCTCTCTCCCTAATCAGTCCTTCCTCTTCACAGGCTGTCTTAATATAGCTATAGACACAACAGGGGCCAGCAGGAAATAATCTGTCAACACTTACATTTTTGACTAAGGCCGGCCATACATGGGTTGAAATTTTGACCGATCTTTCATCCGAAAATCGGACCTAAGAATAATCGGCCGATTTTCGATCTGTTGTTAGTGGGTCAATGGCACTGGCCGATTTTTGTGGTTCTTCCACTTTTCGGTGATTGGGCATGTTAGAAAATTCGCCAAAAATGACCAATTTTCGACTCAATGATGGTCAAATCGTACGATCGTTTTTTCCAAAAAGAACATGAGCTGTGACCTGGAAGGAACATAAGTTTCACCTGTTATATGGGGTGAACTTTATGACTTGGTCGGCCAATTTTCAAAATCATTGATGGCACCATTGGATTACAGAGTGAACGACATTTTCGATTTTCGTGAAAAAAATCGTTTGGAATTTAAACCGTGTATGACCTGCATGACATTCCGCTAAGTTTATATATGCTTCTGAGAATTGCTAGAAAACCTTACCTTCCTATGGCTGCAATCAGCACAGATGGAATTGGATGTTTCTAAGAAGTCTGTGGACCCCCAGCTTTAAGATGAATTGCACCTATAGTGCTGTTATCATTTTCACCTTCACCACCATCACTACTACGCAGGGGCAGACTGACAACTCATGGGGCCCCCGGGCAATAGGGGATCATGGGGCCCCTGTGTCCTTGCCCAAACTCAAAAAAGTCTGAAAAAGGTACCAGGGGCACCTCATGGGGCCCCCTACTGACAACAGGCCCTCGGGCAGTGCCCGAGTTTTCAAATGGTCAGTCCGCCCCTGCTACTATGTTTACATAATGCAGCTTACCTACCATTCCAACACTTTACAGCTCCTGTCTGAAATCTTTAGAGCAGTGCCTGTGCATGTGTGCCATGATCTCCATTCACTTCAATGGAAAACCCAATCGATCAAGTGAATGGAGACCACAGCACACACGTGTGAGTTCTGCTTTGAATATTTTTGCAGAGACTATATGGTGTTGGGCAGGCTGCACAGTGAATATCTTAGAGGAGCAGGGTTGTAGGTATGTATGATCTATTATGATAGACCTGGGAGGGTAGGGGAGAACAGGAAAGGGTAAGTGCTATAAAAGTGCACATATCCTGTAAAGCTGCTGATGTTGCTTCAATCTTGGTTTTTACAGATTATTTTGGCAAATCATTTTAATGAAGGAGGAGCAGCACAACTGCAGTTTGATATGTCCCGGAATCTCTTTCCTTTATTTTCGCACTACTGTAAGAGGCCAGAGAATTACTTTAAGCAGTGAGTATCAAGCCATACAAACAGGAACAACAGATGAAATAAGTTTTCCTCTGTTTTATTTTTACTGACAGCTTGTAAGTTAATACTGTTTTCTTAATTTGTGTCAAACACTGATGTAAGGGATAAAAAAAAAAACAGAAGCTCATAGCAAGTAGATGATTGATGCCAACTAACATGTAGTGGATGCAGGCAATTAACTGGTGACCTCCAATTGTTTTGATTATTACCAGTTCTCGGATTATTTCTAATGAATTTAATGCGTTAGAAATTTGTGTATCATATCTGTTATGCAAGTCAATGTTACCAAATAAATTTGCTGAGCCTTGGAATGGACTGATATTGGTGACCTCCATCCAAATAATGTGATTTGCTTGGTTCTCATGGAGACCCCTATGGCTTTTGCACTTTGAGTCTTGGATGTGAGACAGGGAGTTGAGACTATACTTGCTGCATGCTTGTTCTGAGTCTGGGATTCGGAGTACTGTTGTATGAGACAAGACAGGCAACTAGCTTTTTTAGAAGGAGGTCAGTAATGGCAGCCTATATATTTCCTTCATTAGAGGTTTTGTATGTTTCTTAGGCACTCCCTTGGCAACTCTCCTGTTAAGGTTTTAATATATTTTATGTCATTCAAATGTGACAAGAGGAATAATAGCATTCCTACTGTACAGGAAGAATGAGACTCCAAGGTGATTGGGAACAAAGCTAAGAAGTGTGGTGGGGAGAGACAAAAGAAACCAACAGGTGACTCGGCTCACTAGATTTCACATATATATATATATATATATATATATATATATATATATATATATATATATATATATATATGTGTGTGCAATATCCCTTTTAGGTGGAGTGACTATTAAACAAAATATTTTTCTAGAAAGAGGATAGAGAGGCATTTTAGGGTTCATTCACACTGCCCCACTGTGGTTTCCCTGCTGTGCAGTTTGCAGAGCAGTGTACCTACATTTCCCATATACATCCACTAGAGCGAGCTTTTTTGGTGTGCTTTCAGAAAACTCTCCAGAAAAGCCATTCTGACAGAAGTCTATGGAAAAGCATGGGAGTAACCCACATAAAAAACACTGGTAAACTGTGCTGCCCCTGTGCTGTGGGGAAAGTGCTCATAGGCAGCCAAATCAAACAGCTACTTTGGCAGCCATAGTGTGGTCTTTTCAATTGCTGCAGCAGAATCTAGCTATGTTAGTGGTCAATCACAGAGCTCCATTTACTAAGTTGGGAATAATATGCGCTTCTAGTGGTGAAGTGGTTCCTGGTTGTTGGGGCTGAAAGTAAGTGGATGACTGTGTAAGATACAAGCTCGTAGCATTGCCTATAAAGCAATGAGTGCTGCTAGCTGAAGGAGATACTGGGTCCTAATTCACATCAATTTTGGGGAAAGCGTTCATATGTCCGCATGTAAAAATGCTGCCGGAAAACAAAGTTGGAAGGGAATTGAGTTATGAACATGTACACCATGTGAGAACAGCTGTCCTAAAAGTTAGCCTGTACCTATGTGATTACCAACTCCTGCCCCCAGCTGCAAAAAAACTTCTTAGAAGAATTAATTGATTTTTACTGTGGTCTACCAAGGTGTCAAACTCCATTTCTTTGTGGGCCGCAACAGCATTATAGTTGCCCTCAAAGGGCCTGTTGTATCTATAGGACTAGATGTCCAAAGCACCCCAACCCCCCTTGCATATGATGTCAAGAGCCCCCCCACCATTAGAAGTCAAGAGTCCCCCACTTTCTCCTACATCACAGTGTACCTCCCTTGCCTTGAGCTGCTTCCGGGAAGAAGCTGGGGGCAGGGCTGGGAAGCAGAAGCGCAGGGTCTAAAGGAGGACTGGAGTTACCTGCCAGAGTCTGCTGAATGCTGAGACCAGGGGGTGGTGGTGGCTGGCACACAGAGAGGCACAGGACCTGTAGGAGTTCTGTCGACAAGGTGGGGGAAAGACGAGTTGGTGCCACAGCTGCAGGAGAGGGCCGAGGGCCACATAAAATGGCCTGGCTAGTCAGCTTCGGCCCGCAGGCCTTGTGTTTGACACGTGGACTAAGATAATACATGAAATTCTGACTGCTAAAAGGTGTTTTGTGTATCAATTGTTAAATGATCTGTAAAATAATAATAAATATATGTATTAATTGCAGTGTGAAGGAGGCATGCATTATCCTCACCCTTGGTATAGGTCCAGCGCTGCTCCTGAGGGATGTGCTACAGACTGCAGCACACAATGTGGATAGTACCGACATCAACAGCAAAGTGCCCTCTGCTACTGCAGCTCTGAATGAACTTGGAATATACAAGCTGGCACCACAAGATGTAGAAATTCTGTTTAATCTAAGGACCAATTGGCCAAACACTGGAAAATAATATTTTCTTATGCACAGTTTAACAGTCATTTGTCTGCTGACTGTAATATATATACTGGCTCTTTGCCAGTAGCTATAGCTTTCCTGGTGGAAGTTGCTTCCTATAAATAACACAACATGTTAAGTGGTAAGGACTATGTTTTTACATCTGTAAATATGTTTTATTAAAAAGTAACATACTTATCACCTGTGGTATTGAAGCTGAATTCTAGCCAGATATGGAAAATATTAATTTATGCAGCTCTATAAGTATTAATACTTAATTAAATGTATTTTTGTAAATGCAAGCAGTGTAAGTGCCTGAAATTGACCTGATTTCAGCATTTTGCAGTCCTTATACAGCACTGCTGGAGTGTGAGAGGAAAAAGCAGCAAAGTCAATCAGTTTATATGCTGATAAGGAGCATTCTGATAGAAGGAGGTGCACAGTGACAGAGAGATGAGCGCATCACTGTGCTGCTTCTCCTTTCACTGTCCAGTCACAGCCTGGGGAGGGTCCCAGTATGGCCTAGGCACAGAGAAAGGGGTTAGAATGATGCTGTCCCTCGGACTAAGGACATCTAGTGGTGGAATTAAATTTGTGGAGGACGGTACTGGATTGAAGGTAAATATTGCATCAAAACCTGTTTTTTTTTTTTTTTTTTTTTTTTAATATTTTATTTTATTATTACAATTACTTATATAGCAATGTAAATAGCACTGTCAATTTACACAGCACTTTACATATATATTGTGCATTCCCATCAGTTCTTCTCAAGGAGCTTACATTCTAAGGTCTCTAACTTACATTCATACACCCACTAGGGTAAATTTAGACATGATCCAGTCAACCTACCAGCATGTCTTTGGAGTGCCGGAGGAAATCAGAGTACCTAGAGGAAACCCAGACACAGGGAGAACATGCAGGTCCAGGTAGGTAATGTCATGGCTAGGCAGAAGTGCTAACCACTTAGCCGCATATTTATTTTTGGCTGGAGCTCTGCTTTAATAATTTTTTGTAAAAAAAATTTCAATTATGTAAATTTTGAAAATATTTATAACAAAAACAGTTGCTTTCCATTTGGGCAGTGCATTTTACCTAATTGGGTTTTCTTACAGTTTATAAGATTTTGGCATGAAATGCTGTGGTGTCAAAAAGCAGTGTAAAATAAATTGGTAAATCAACAAAAATATCAAGGAATATAATGAGGTAACTTTGAGGAAAGTCCCGCCGCCTTCCATTGAAAATAACGGTTTATGCAAGGTATAGCGTAAATGCTTGGTGAATTTTTGATTGAAAAAGGCACAAAGCTTCATACACAGGTGAAAATCCACATTTATAGTACAATAAAAAATGTTATGATTACTTTCACACAAAGTAATCTTGTTACTGAATGCCTGTGTCCAATATTCAGGAGTTCTGGAATGCTAGCTGTGCCTAAGGAATGTCTATTGTTGAGTTCTCCATTTGGATGCCTGTGTGGACACTTGGGAGCCCCTGTTCAGATGTTGGACTATTTATATATTCTTCAAAGAGAAGTATAGACTTTGGGAAAAAGACATTTATACTTACCTAGGTGAATGCAGCATCAATCCAATGCATCTGCTCCCAGCCAGCTATGCAGTGAGAACTGTGCAATCAAATGTATATTTTGTGTTTAAAAAAAATAAATATATATAATTATTTTTTTTATAGATAGCTAATGAATGAACATACATAGGCCAGTGACAAGACCATTTACACATTAAAAGGGAATTAAGATTGATAAAACTGGCAAACTATTCCCATATCCTACTCAACAGTAGGTACCTCCAAAAAGCGGTACCTGTATAACTGTAATAAGAAAAATGTTAGTTGGTCAGATGTTCAGTAGCTTACTGTCCTGGCTAACGGGGGTTGTAGACACCGTAGCTTAATTGTTGCTTTCAGTAAAATGCAAGCAGGGTCTTTTCATGTTAGGATGAAAAGTGCTTTGCCAACTAATTAGCTGTTTTTTAGATGAGAAGAAACGTCCATATCGGCTAGCGAACTATTGCCTTTAGCCCACTGTTGGCTGAACACGGGTCACAGGAGTGCAGAACTAACTGCATTCCTGTGATCCATAGAAGTATAGCCAAAAAAAGCTTAAACAAGCAGCAAGAGACCTTTAAAACAACTCCTCACACATTTCTTTATCTGCTTTTAATGTAAAGTTATCTCTGAAGTCTATTTCAGTTCGGTTCCTGAGGAATCCGCTTAAATTCTCACACAGGTGGCTCTCTTGGCCACCTCCCAAACAACTACCCTCAATTGAAAAACTAAAGAAGCCTAGAGAAAATGTTCCAGCTGAAAAGGGAGTGCATCCAATTGGATACAGCTGTATTTCTGGAAGTTTGACAATTGGCAGGGTCCGGTGGTCAAAATAAGATAGCTACAATGGGAGATTTGTCCATCTGTGCTGTATAACGTGGATGGAGGAATCTGTTAGTTTTTGTTCTTTCTGCCTGTTACAAAGTGCACCTGATTTACTATTTTAGTGGTAATCGCTTACAGGAGTCAGTTGCTGAGAAAAGCTGTGGCAATCGTGCATCAAGCAAAGCATATTGTCATACAGATCATAAAAATTTGCGGCACTTTGCTGGCAGCAGCACTTTAGAGATGTCCCCTTGATTTACTATCTACAGGTGTGCTTAGCAAGCTGACGGAAATCTTTTACAAAGATGCAGCTCTTGGGGGGGGGGGGGGGCAAAGGGTAAAGAGAGGGACCACAGAGGTTCTTTTGAACTACAAGTTGCATGAGCTTGAAAAAAGTTCAGGCTCAATTCTGCATATCAGCTTCTAACCTCAATTGTCCAGTTAAGGTTTGGCAATAAAACCTCAAAGCTGATTGGTGTCTATGCAGACATGAGCCTGATTTTGCACTCTCCAGTTTTCGTAAATAAACCCCTCTGGGTCTATTGAGACATCAAAGGAAACATTAGCCAGTTCTATCCACAGCATGATCTTCTGCCTCCTTTACAATTCTCTCAATAATGGAGATATTATCAGGTACAACTGACCTCAATGGAGGTGCAGCTTTGTAAAGGCTTCTGTAATCAACAGCCTCTTCTCATGTCCCATATGCTTCCTTTACTGTGAACACTGAGAAAGGGCTTCCAGAAGGTCTAAGGATCCCTATTCTCAACAGTTCTGTGCCCAGCTTTTATTGTCCCGCTGTACACAGTGCTGTACTGGGTATGTTTTGTTGCTGCTCCACAGTCTTCCGTATTATAATGAATGACCCTGCACTAACCTCAAGCCATCATATCCTAAATAGCTACAGTAGGGTTGCCACCCCATCCCAACTGAACACATATTAATTACACAGGTTCTGAGGCTAATGTATTGCAGATAAAGCACTGAGTTAATTACCACCTTAATCAGCCATAGAACCTGTGTAATTAACTGCTTCCTGACCATCCTATAGCAGAACTACTGCTACAGGGCGGCAGGGCTGTGAAAAATCACATATATATATATATATATATATATATACACACGATTTTGTGTTTCCATTGGCGGCTACAACTGTTGATTGCCATGTCCCCGCCGGAGATTCCCTGCTGGCACCTGGCGTTCGCCGTGGAACACTGACGGGAGAGTTCTGTATATAAACACTATAGATCTCTCCCATCAGCACCAGCATGCTGCTTTGTATTGCTCTACATAGCAGAGCACTACAAAGCAGTATGTTTCCCTAGTAAAACAAGCACAGCACACACAGTAAAACAGCACACAGTTAACCCTTTGATCGCCCCAGATATTAACCCCTTCCTGCCCAGTGCCATTAATAGTGTCAGTGCTTTTTATTAGCACTGATCACTGCATTAGTGTCCCTGGAGATGTCAGTGGCAGTTAGTTTCCCCTCAAGTGTCAGAATGCCCACCGCAGTCCTGCAATAAGTTGCTGATTGCCGTCATTACTAGTATAAAAAAAATCCAGTATATTCACCACCATTTGTAAACACTATAACTTTCACGTAAACCAATTAATTTACACGTACTGGGATTTTTTTTTTTTAGCAAGACATGTAGCAGAATACATTGTGGCCTAAATTGATGACGAAATTTTATTTTTTATTTTTTTTTAATGGATATATTTTATAGCAAAAAGTCAAAAATATTGTTTTTTTTTTCAAAATTGTCAGTCTTTTCTTGTTTGTAGCGCAAAAAATAAAAAACACAGAGGTGATCAAATGCCACCGAAAGAAAGGTCCATTTGTTGGATAAAAAGGACAAATCTCATTTGGATGCAGAGTTGCATGACCACGCAACTGTCAGTTAAAGTAATACAGCGCCGTATCACAAAAAATGGCCTTGTCAGGAAGGGAGGTAAATCCTCTGGAGGGCAGGTGGTTAATATGCGTTCAGTTTTAAAGGGATGAGGTGGCAACCCTAAGCTACAGCAGGACACGGCAACCTGTTCGGAGCCTTGTCCCTCCCGCATCCAATCCAGGCACCTGTGTGTGATGTCACTCCTAGAATAGATGAAAGAGGTGCTGGAATCCATGTCTCACCACTGCTTCCCTGCGCCGCTCTGCATATTCGTGGGGGTCATGTGACAGATACAAAAGACATTGCCTGTCATGGGTTACCAACCCTTGCCTTTGACAGTTAAATATTAACATTTGCATAGAGTTTCATACAGCAGACTGAAATGAGGAGCCACAGTTGGGAGCTGTGCGATGACTGCATTCATTTATTTCAGGTACTTGTATAGCGCCATCAATTTACACAGTGCTTTACATATATATTGTACATTGCGGTTTCTATGCAGAAGTGGACCTGATTTTGCACTCCCCAGCTTTAGTAAATACACCCCCATATGTCTTCGCTAAGACACAGAGATGATAACCTAAGCCCAAAATTGTCTCCTCATGGAGACGTTTACTCAGTATCACTAGAGGGAACTGGCATCTGTAATCTGTAATTTAATTCTTCACATAAAAATCATAAAAACTTTTTTTTTATCTGTCACATCCATGGAATGTGTCAACTTTTTTTG